TCTTCTTACACTTTCAGTTCCTTTCAGTTAAAGTTTCAGCAAAAAGATAGGCAGCACTGGAGTTATAATTTCAAAATGTTGAAACTTGGAATAGATCTCCATAAGGCAGTCGTGCCAAGATTTAAATCTGGAGTAAGAAATTGGTCCACTGATGCAGGTTGATAGACATTACCACATGCATGAAGCAACAACTTTCTGATTACCATAATTTACCTGTTCAAACAACCCTTTTGGAAGAAAGGTTAAGAAGTTGTACTTTGTCGTCGATATAGAGTTTCCCTGAAACAAATCGTTGCATATAATTAGCAGTCAACCACTAACCTCAAGAGGTTGGCCTAGTGTTAAGGAAAGACATTCAAACCAGTTTAAGTTCAAACCTTGGGGCCAACATTATTGATAAGAAAAAAAAAACAGTGGCGGACTATTATATGGTACACATGGTAAGAACTAACAAAATAAATTAACTGACTTAATACAAAGTTGAATAATCTAAACAAAATAAAAACCAAATACGAGAACACAAGGCAACACTGAACCTCAAACTTAACATTAACAAATCTCACCAATGAACCCTTTAGAAGCAAAATTGTTTCCTTAAATAAGCATCTCAGCTTTTCTCAATTCAGTATTGTTCATTTCGCCGATAGCTTCTTTACTCGATAATGATCGTTCATTTTGTTGTTTATAGAATAGTAATAATGACACTACTAATTTTATGTCTGGTAACATTCAGACTTCTTCCAAGGGAATTTATCTATAAAAAGATAGTAGAAATTTTCTTTAATAAGAAAATAGTAGAGTTTGCTCCCTAAAGTAAATACTAAGTAACATAAATGAAGCCTGCTCCCTCAAGTCTCTCTTGGAGACTTTAACACTTAACCCTCACTTGACGCTTGTCTGAAATTGCCAAGTTATCAGTGACAAACAACTGAATAAGTTCAGCAATGAACATCTTTCCTCATTGAAACTGATAATTTTACCATTAATAGAGTTAGGAGGCTTCTTCGTCATAGATGATATGAAAAGGCAAAATAAAAAGTCATTCCTTCGAACAGCGACCAAAGAACTCGCACACAAGCTGTTCAAATAGGGGCGAATTTTCCCGTACATAATCGATTTAATTAAAAGCTTAATTAGTAAGAGCAGTACAAGATGGAGGGTGGCAATCTGTTGACGAACCCTGATATATAGAATGCCGCTATACACAAGTGCAATGTGAAACAACGAGAGACATATAACCTTTTTAACATTAGTTTCTTGTTTAATTCTTATCTACTTGCCATGATTCACGAAACTAAAGGACTTAGACTGCCGATCAATTATTCTACCACACAAGCTTACATGATATCTTACTTCGAAACTGAAGAACAATTCTGCAACTTTGCAGCACAGATATAAGCACGATCAGGTTAAATGATATCTTCAGATGAAGTCCATACTGCAACTACCAACTTAAAAGCACATGTTCTCTAAAGGTTGCGCAACTTGGAAACAAAGACCCACGAAAAAAACTGATGATTCACATTCAAAGTTCCCCCTTCAAAATCAAAGTGAAAGAGAAACATAACGACACTGAGTTGGAGTGAAGTACCCATTATCAGGCAAACCAAAATAACCAATCTTTCCCCTACCGATTCCCAACAAAGCAAAAGAACGCCCTAAACGCGGAGATGGAAGCACAGCAAAAATCCTCCGAGGAAGCAGAAGAGCAAAACCGAAACGCAGGCATTTTACCAATTTCCGAATATCGGGAACCTAACCTTGAATCGGACGGGGAGATTGGCTTCGCGATCATTGCAGAAGATTGTACGATAACCAGGCGCCTGTGGCTGTACGCGGCCGAGCCTCACCGTCCTCGCCGTTCGCCCGGTCAAACTCGTTTCCCGTGACAACCTCCCCCCTCTCGTCGACCTAATCCTCTCCCATCCGCCGCCGCCACTCATCTTTCCCCCGTCCTCCGCCTCTCCCCCAACCCCGCCACCGAGATCGGAATTAGCAAAACACCGATTCACAATCCCGCCGGAAGAGGAATTAGCCTATGCTAACTTCGATATGCTCCTCGGGAACACAATCCCCTCCTGGGAAACGTCGATGGCACAGAGGGGACACAAGAAAAAAGAACAAAGATTACCTTCCCCTTCCTCCTCCGCTGCTTCGATCCCCCTCTCTCTCTCTCTCTCACCTTCTCTCTCTTGTTCCTGCTTCGTTCACAATTTCCTGGTTTATTTTTTTGGTATTTTTGAATTTTCTATTTCATTAAAAACATCCGAATAAACCGCGTAATTTTTTTTCCACTACTTTGATTCTTTCTTTAAAATCAAGGTTGTCAACCCGCGGGTTGACCCACGGGTCGACCCAATTTGATCCTGATTCGGTGAGAAAAACGGGCCGCACGCACCCGCCGGGCCGACCGCTATTAGGTACCGCGTTGGAGGTCAAATTGTGTCATTTTTTTCTTTAGTTTGCGAAATGCGCCTATTTTCCAATTTTTCTTTTCGCCTACCTCAATCTTTGGAATACTAAGTTGAACATTTGAATATTTATGTTATATAAGCGTGTGTGAATTTTCACTATATGTTGGATCTAAGTACGATATATTATTTTGGTGTAATATTATATGTTATAACTCATATGTTAGATAAGATTTGATATAATTTATGAGGATAAGTGCAATATAATGACTCTTTCTATATTTACGGGTCAAACCGGACTAAAACGGTTGACCCATTAACCCTTTACCCACTAGCTCGACCGGGTCCAGGTCAACCCGCGGGTTGACAACCTTATTTAAAATACATTCAGTAATTTATTACTGTGATATAGATTATCACCCCCCACGCGTTGTCCCTGCCGCGTGGAATGATGTGGAGAACAGAATCTGCCGCGTGTGGATCCGACATAGGTGACGGAGCGTGAGAGCTGAGGTGACGACGGCGGCGGAGGAAGGGCGCCATGATATGCTGGAACTTGACGGGTTCTGGGATTGTGAAAATTAAAAGGACAGATAGTATTGTAGTAACGGAATGGAAGTTATATGGACGGCGTTGCTGTGGGTGACTTTTCGCTGGAGCTCCCCGACTGGGAGATATGCCATAGAAGTTGGTGTCTTGGTGTAAGCGATTGCAAAATTGAACTTGGTTATGACGTTATGTGTCTGAATGCCTAACCATCGAAAATGACTAAGGGTAGGGTCAAATGATTAAGTCAATCGGGACCCTGCAAATTTAATGGCAGTCCCCCGCATTTGTCCGAACTGTTGAAGGAGGTTCCGGGGTTTGGCCCGATTACGATATCACCGAAAATGATGATCGTGGAAGGTGTTCCTCGTCATAAAAAAAAATCAATGGTAGTCTATTGTTATTATTATCATAAATTGTCGTCATTGTTCACAAACTGTTTTGTTTCTTCAATAAGTTGTGCAATTTCATTATGCATCCCCTGAAACTAACTTAGTCAGAATCAAAAAGTATATAACGGCATGACATTATCTTCCAAGTTGCACTTGTACCAACCCTTGTTAAAAACCAAATAAATAAATAAAAAAACTTAAGCTACTTACATACTAGTGGCAATAAGAAAGTGAACATGGCAGATAACTCTTTCCGTGGGCAACTAGGTTCACAAAAGAAAATATTATTACACCATTCTCTCTATATAGAGGCCGCCATCCAACACCAACAGAAGCCAATGATCTACCTCGAGGATCCTTCTTCTTGGCTTTATAGATAACAACCGTAAATACAATCTTCTCAACTACTCAGAACTAACAGGTCAACCTCCTAAAGAATATATGACTTCTGGATTCAACTCCATTATTTCAGCAGTTTATCTCTATAGTAGTCATGCGGTCTTTCATAACCAGCCAAGTGAAGAAGTTATCCCGGGGGGTAGCAAATTTAGACCGTAGTTTTGCCCACTCGACTACAGGGAGACGAGGCATGATTTCACTCATATTATTTTGGTATTTGTCAACTCTCACTCTTATCGAACTCACATGACTCGAACTCTCTGCATACATTATACTATGAAACCAAGTTCTAAATTTCAAAAGCTTGCTCAAAATCCATGAACCATATTGAGTCGAATTCAAGCACCAGAAGCTTCTACCGTTGAACTTGTAGTAATGTGCCCAACCTACCTAGAAGGAACCTCCTCTCATAAGGAGAAGCCAAATGAGCATTCCTTCCCAAACAACATTCATACAACCATAACCTTCAAACCAAGCCCCCTTCCATTTTAGGGATTGAGACCAGGTCCCAAGAGACCTTAACATGCCTAGAATCATGACACAAGATATTCGAACATATTTTCTGCACTTGAGTTGTAAACTTATAATCACATGTAATTTGTACAAGAACGGGAGCCATCCTAGAGGAAATTCACTCTCTCCTTCCGTCCTTTTTGTCAGTCTTGTGTCTCTTTACTTCTCGAAGTTTCAACAGACCTGCCCATCACGTGGCAAAACAGACTCTTTTATCTGTAGTCAGGTTGCATACGTACTACAGTTCTTTGTTAGTGTCTATCTTGTAATTGTTTTGTCCGGCCATGCCCTCGGGGCTTATCTTGGACAAAAAAAATCACTTCTTCAGGTATGACTACTAGTCCTACATTCTGGGGTTCCTGAAATTGGGGGTTTTATTTTGGGTGATCTGGTTACATGTGTTTTGCACCCTAGGAAGCACCATCTTTGTTGGAATCCTGTCCGTACGGGTTGTCTGGACAGTGGACAGTGGTTTCCTACTTCCAAGGAAGTGAGAATGATAATGGAAGAAGATTCTATGGTACTACACGGCCAGCAATGTAATTAGCTTTACCTAAGCATCGACAAGTTGCTCCGCATTCACTTGTTGATGATGAACTGAGCTCAGACTTGAAATAGGTTGCTGATAATCTTCTGAACAGTTTTGATGAGTTCGACCATTAAGAAATTAAGTTAGGGAAGGAAGGAAGGGTTATTGATCACTTCTGCTCAAATCTTCCCAGCTCCCATAATCATTTAAGTTCTCCTGCTGCTGGTTTCACTACAAACTTGAATGCTTACATCAACAGCTGAGATATGTGATACTTGTACCAAGACGGAAGGCTCAAGTTTAACATCGAACCATCATACTTCATTATAAAGATCTAAGCTTCGCTTCACCATGTCAATGGTATGTATGAAACAAAAAGGGTGTGTACAGAGTATGCGTACAAGGAGAGGAAATCTGCAATACAAACTTATCTTTTAAAACAGCAATTTAGACAGCTATAGGACTAGGAGGATCTCATTTTAGCTGGTATTACAACGGCAGGAGAAAAGTGAAGTCCAGCTTACAAAGATTCTATATGTGTATGAAGTGAAAGAATACTCTCTTCTTCAATGCTGAAACAACTGGAGAGATCTCTGTTGGGGATTCCACAGCTCCATGAAGTAGTTGTTGTGACAACATAATGCACTCTCTCTTTGTAACAAGATCATATGCGTATATTTTACTAGCCCTTTGGAGGATATACGTATCGTATTGCTTTCTCTAATTGCCCATCAATCAACTGCCCCCCTCCACAATTTTTTCAAGATCACGATCTTTCGAAACCGCCACCAATCTGCATGTGCAACCATTCAGGCGACGCTCCTCTGCTGAATTCCCTTGCGGTTTGTGAACCGTAACCAATCCCAGATGCATCATATGTTTGCTGGTCATACTGAAATCAGGAGTAGGGAGGAAACCCAATGCATTAAAAACAAACAAATCACAGAATCTCTCTTCGAGCTCTATATGTTGATAATTTTTTTCTTCCGCTATAGAACAAGAAGCAACCTAACTAAATATCTCAACTCTTTTAAGCATGAGCAAAGAGGCAGGTGGGCTGCACTATAGCTACCCCTACTAAATTCTGTACAGGGAATTTCAGTATATAAGGAAAAGAAGAGCAGATGCTTACCTCTTTTGAAGGATAGACATCCATGCCAGGAGTCATCCGGGAGTTAACTGCCTCTAGCTTCATTGACAGGAACTGCAAGTTTAAGAGAAAGAACTCAGCTTCAGCATCAGTAGTTAAGTTACCACAAGGGGAAGGGGAAGTGCACGTGTTGTCAATCCTTCTTCATAGCAAGTATATATACCTCAACTTGACGCTGTAACGACTGGATGTAATTAATAATCTCATCCAAGACGAGAGCTTTCCCTATGACCTGCATCCCAGGAACAAATACACAAAAAAAAGCACCCATCTTTAAGAAGCCTCTAACGGAAAATCCAGCCAAATGTTAAGCTCTGTCTCTGATTAGAAAGCAGTGATTCGGAAAGCACAACAACGAATGTACCTTGTTGCAGCCAGGGACGAGGTCCTGAAGGATTTTCATCCTTTCACTTATTTTTTCTCTCCTGGCCTGTCAATTGCAACAGTAGCAGTAACCCATGAGCCCACATCCATAATTACCGCACAGTATCTAAGAATCACGTACAACAGGGTAGGTTGTTGAAATCTGGAAAGAAAAAGAAAAGGAAAAAAAGATTTACTCTTTCTGCAAGGCTGTGGCTGTCAGTAGCTTGACCACGCCGTGCCCGTACGTGGATGTAATCTTGTTTAGGTGGCTCTGAGGGTTGTTGAGCCTTCTGTTCCACTAGTGGCTTCCCTGAACTGAGCTCTGCTTCTTCAGCTTTGGGATCACAGCTATCATCTCTACTCCCTCCCGTTGTTTTAATCCTTTTCCCATCACTGTCATTCTGCACCCAATTCAGATCAGATGAATGCCCAAATGAGGAAAACAATAGTTCAGTTACCAACCCTCCCAAATAATCACCCATACCAGTCTCGAATTCACAAAACCCAATGAGGAGAAGAAGGAAGATGGAATACTAGAATAGAATAGAGCCCACGTTACAGCCAATGATGGAAACAACAAAGTCAACCACCCAATTGACTGAAGCTTTTTTTTTTGTGTACTGGGTAGATTAAAAATCAACAATGACCAATCAGAATGAAACAATGAAGATGAGGGGGGGAGAGGGAGATATATACACATACCAGTCCATTCCCGCTGCCATTGCTGGTAGAGACGGCCTCCTCCAAATCCCGGCGCTTCTTCTGCAAACCTCCTCTGTGCTCCAAATTGAGGGATTCATTATCCCTGGTAGAGTCTGCAAAGTGAGCCAAACTCTGCCCAAACTGGCCTCTCCCATTCCCATTCAGCGGAAACTGCCAGATCTCCGCCAAGTTGAAGGGCTCGTCACTCATCAACCCAGGCGGATCCATATACTCGCTCAATCCCCCACCCACCCAACCAACCAACCAAAAATCTCAAACAAAGAAAACACAATCCCAAATTTCGCCAACTTTCGATCTGACAGTGTGGGAATTTAAAAAAAAAAATACAAAGTTTGGTTTGACACTCGGGGGTTCGTTAGAGGACTAACGGAAGAGAAATAAAAACAAACACTTGGGGTGCGTGCGTGGGAGCAGTGAGCAGGAGTCGACGATGCTACTCTTGCTGGATAGATGCGCTATTTAAGTAGCTTGGGGAAAGCAAGAAAAGCAGATTGAGAGACAGAGACAGAGAGCATTTATATGGTAGAAATGGATTGTGGTGTGGGTGCGATAGAACTGTTGGGTAGAATGACTGAAGAAATGAATGGCCGGGGAATGGATGGAGCGGTGGCGCAGTGTGTGCCGCGAGCTCGATTTCTCGGCCGGGAGAGAGAGCAATGGGCAGGAAGGCCTGGGGAATCGGGAAGTAAGTCACTTCTCGAGTGATCCATCCCCTCCTCCTTTTATTAACTTCTTTTTTGGCTTCCTTTCCTCCTCTTACTACTTCTCTTCATCTCACGTGTACGTCTACCTCACTTGTCCGCCGTTCGATCAGATCGCATGTCTTCGCGACCAGATCATTGGACGTCCTTGATTACCAAAGTTGTCGAATCGGTTTATAGGGTTGTGTCCGTTCAACAAAAGATATGATTTGATCGTGGTCTACAACTAGTTTGTGTCAGTTCATGCAAGTTCAATAAAAATAGGCAATATACACTTGTATAGGCAAAACTTTCACGTTTATGACAATAATAGCCAATTTCGGAGAAATACCACTTAAAACCATTTCCGTTCAATTCTTTAACGGTATTAGTATTAAGTCTAACTGGACAAACGGAAATGTTGACGTTGCGAACAACTAAAAAATAAATAAATAATAAACTAACGTAGGAGTATTGAAGAGTAAATGAAGGCAATTAAGTAATTTCACAGTTATTTTAACGGTCACTAAACAGAAAATTGGATGAAAGGGTAAACTTGTTACGTTTCAATATTAGATGGATATGTTTGTAGAAAAATTAATAGAGGGGTACGTTAGTTAATTTAACATAGTAGAGGGGTAAAAAATGTTATTAACCCTTGGTTAAATGGTGCGTTTAGGATCGTAACTAATGATTTTCCGATCTGGTGACTTTATGTTGCGATATAGGCACGTAAGATGAGGGTTCTCGGTCAAATTGATCGTCAAGTGTATTGATTTAGGATTCCCAAATTGAGTGACTCTGCAAAATCTAATTCGACCGGTGCTGGTGGTCCGTGTACAAAGTTCATTAAATTTTTTCCATAACGAGTAGTGGTATTGGGTACAACCTCTGGCCAGATTATGGAAATTGAGTACATTATTAAGTTGGTCTTAATAAAGTCCCCCCCAAATGATTGATTTAGGTTGATGATGATGATGGTTAGTCATGGATAAGCTGCTGATTATGGATTAGTGATCTATTTTACTTGTTAAAGTGAGTGAGTTGAAAGCGATGGTTTTCCTCAGTTCGAGATTTCATTGATTGATCGATGTTCCCACAAGGATACACAAAGACAAAGTGGAGCCCTTCCACCATTAAGTGGGTCATTAGGATGCACAATTACAGGTTGGCGTGTGAGAGCTATCAGCTGTGTTCATAGTTGAGTGAATCCATCTTTGTGGGCCTTGATACAGTGACTTGTATAGTTAACTTAAGTAGGTTACTTTTTGTTAACTATGCTATGGGATAGTTTGAATGGTGGAAGTTTGATGAGGTAACTTGGCTCAATTGTTTCAAAATGAAGTAATTAAGTCAAATTGTCCCGTCTGACAATACAAACAGGATGCAATATTTTGACCGAGCAATTCAAACGGTCGCAAATTGCACAAATTTAAATTGACGGGAAGAGGGACAAGCATCTCAAAATGATGCATCAATCGTGAGGTGAGACAATTTCGAGAGATAGTTGGGTCAAACTGTGTCTATGTTAGATTTCTCACAAAATATCAAGGAAAAAGACAAAAAAAAATCATCGCTTGGAAGTCTCGAAAGCCAAACCAACCCACAAGTGTAGCGATGTTGTTGCAGCCATTAGAGATGTTGAGGACTAAATTGCAAATTAAACTTGTTTCTTTCCCTTTCTAGTATGCCCTCTCATTGGCCTTTAACCCTGGTTTATCTAGAAAGGGTGATATAAATTTGTTCTTATATTCGATATTACTTTTAAGGAATTCGAAACTAGTAGCTCTAGGTTGAAGACTAGTTATAGAATCTGTGTTGTCTTCTCCAAATGCATTGCTATAATATTCCTAATTTTTGTGGTGTTTGTTGTAAATGTTACTCAGCTCGAATAATTGGAGACTAATTTTTAGTCAATCCGCAATCTAAATGCAGAAATATATCACTCATCCGACCCATTAAAAAAAAAAAGAGTATGGTTGAGTAATACATAATAACAATTGTACCAACCTATTTGTAAATGAATGAGTTAATTTAAGATATAGATTCGACCGACCTAGTTAATAACCAGCAGATCCCCAATAATCAATTTCTACGTAACCCTCAACAACTATAGGCTAACAACCCATAATTTTTTTCCAAATAATCTTTTCATGGACTATATATGATCTTCCGTTTAATGTCGGAATAGAACAAATTTTGCAAAGAAAATTCATATCAATCATTCTCTTCAAAATGAAATCCACTTTGATAAATTTTGGAATTAAAAAATGACAAAATACACTTGTTAAGCCATAACTTTGCACTTTGTGACAATAATAGCCAAATTTTGAAAAATACAAAAATATAACCAAATTTTAAAAAGAAGTTTGACAAATCTAGCCATTACCGTTGAAATCTTTAACATCGTAAGTGACTCCATCTGTTACATAAACGTTACGCTAAGGTGGATGCCACATCAGCTCACATGTCAGCTCCAACAAGACCAACAATGCCACTGGACGCCACATCACATTTTAATTAAAAAAATTCATTAATTTTTTTATTAATAAACAACTCATACCTACCACCGCGGGCAAAAAATCCCCATTTGCCAAAAAATCCCCCTTACCCATCGCCCCAAACCCTTACTCCTCCCTCGGTTTCGGCTATAAACACCACTGAGCCATCGAGCTAGGCACCCGCTGCAGGGCCGCCAGGATGGCGCTCCACGGCCTCACCTACATTATCCTCACCGTCATCGATTCCAAGGATGAAAGAAATGTTACTGAACCACATTAAATTTGTGTTCGTTTATGTTGATCTGGATTATCAATTTCACGCTTTGTTATGACAAAAACTTCCGAATATTCTTTAAAAATAGAGATGATACAAAGCGGTACCTCATATATGGTACTATGGTGGTAACGACTGGTAATGGATGATATAAAAAAATTCTCGAAATATAAAAAATGAATATTATTTTGTAGATGACAATAGGGATGGCAATGAGCTTGGTTGGGTTGGATTTTTTCAAAACCAAATCCATGGGTATATAAAAAAAGCGTGAAAGTCAACATCATTCTTCTCATATAAATTTTCCAAACAAAAAACATCTATCTAGTGCATACAAGCAAACCATAAAGTATCTATACGAATTGTTCAATATTAAAAATAAACATTCATAAATAACATGATTAATTGGAAGCTTCTTCCTCCTTGTCAACTAAGTTGTTTTACTCTCCACTCCATAATATAAACTTCATTCTACACAATTAGAAAGAACAAATTAGACATGTCTCCAACATAAGGAATATTAGTTGTTTAAGGAGGATATATGACTTGGAATATTAATATAACGGTCACTCGATTGTCGACTGGCCGGCTGAAGTTGGAGAAGCGAGTGGCGGAGTCGGTGACGGTGAGTGATGACTGTACGGATTTGTGGTAGCGAGGTCGAGTGGTTGTGGGGGTGGATTCTTTTCTTTTTGGAGTTAGGGTTAGGAATTATGATGGGGAAATGGCCGAATGGGACATGGGAGGGTAAGTGGGTCATGCTTAGAGACGGGTACGGGTTGGAGATGGCCAAAACCGAAGCCAACCCCAACCCGCAAAACAGTAAATGAGTTTAAACCCGAACCCGACCCATAATCCATCAATGTAGGTTTTATCCGCGTCGACCGGTTGGACAGGGTATACCCTTGGATTCACGTTATGCTGCCATCCCTAGCTCACAATGAGCCTATCGATCAACTGTGAAAAAATTTTAAAATTCATATTAAAACAAAAAAAAAAACAAACTAATTAAAACAAATAGCAAAACTAAATAATCTTGTAACCTCATCCCTTAAAACGCACTCTACTTAGAACGAAGGTCCATATTTAATTGTGCACACCCTACCATAACACATCAATAACAATAACCACCCCTACAAGAAAATAAGTATATAAAAAAAAAAAAAATACAAGTGACCGTTCCTTAAATATAAGAGACCTCTCATGCATCAATCCTTTTATACATATTATCCCTCGTGCTACAATGTTTCACAAGGCATAAAATTTCAACACAGAACTTTCCCATCCAAGTCCCCAACCATCGAAGACCAAAGGTGAGGCCACGCCACCTCCCCAAAAGTCTAGGTGGTCTTCTTCTTCGTCGTCGTCATCAATCAACGATTTATTTTACAGTTTCTGGCAAAGAAACAAGTGAGATTGCTTTCCATCTCCAACCCCAAATCTAGAAACTCCACATGCATTTTAAGGTTTTGTTGTGTCCAGAATCCCTTGTAGTAGAGTTATTAATTATTACTCTCTAGCAAGCAGCAATCAATAGCCAAGCAAAAACAACAAGAGATAAGCTGTTTGTAAGGCCCCTCTTGGAGAAGAAAAAAAACAGAGTGTACGCACTTGATTATAATTTCCTTTTCCAAGCGTTTCTCACATGTTTCAAATTCCTCACATGTCATTGGCAATCCTATAGATATGGATAATCTTATGGGTTTCTTCTTCGCGCTGTATACGTTGAATGATCACCTGTGTTTGATATACTTGGTGAATTTTAATTAACATAATCTTAGTTTTCATGGTTTAGCCATCGAAATTAGATATAACATGATGCTATAAATTTTGGTGAATTAATGATCTAAATAGCATCAGCTAAGTACCACTAATAATAATGTAAATAATAAATTGATATCAATAACTCGAGTTATTAGAAAAAGTTTAAGAATGTATTTTTTTATGATCTGTTTACATACCCGCCGGATGAAAGCTAACCATCGTGTGCGAATCCTTAGGATTCGTAATATTAATAGTTGAATTTAAGCAAAAAAGTATGATTCTCCCCTGCAAACTTCAAGTCCAAAGATTGACATTCAATTGAGAGGACAGGACGTATGGTAACGATATAAGATCCATTCTGAAATCTCGCTCGATCAACAACTCAAGTTACCAGAACCAGCTGAGTTTTTAACGATTTTCCCATCCTTCTTAATTTTGGTTTTCACCATGAAGTACTGCTGTACAGGATACAAGTTGAAATAGTTCTTTAACTAAGGAAATCAATACATCTTTCATATATATGGATTCGCTTCCATTTCTTCTGTCCTAGTGAAAGGGTGTCTTTAACATTGCTATGAATAAACTACATTAGCTAGGGAG